TCCAGGAAGCCTTGTTCCAGCAAATCATATCTATGTACAAAACAATATGATTCCAAGTCATTCAATTCCTAGGACTTCTTAAGATTATTAGCGGTTTATTAGAAAAAATAAATGTTTATCTTTACATCTTCGACAGTGTTTCAAAACCATTTTATCATAACAATTTAGGTTTTCTCCAACTTTATATATATTAACACCCAAATATCGATGGATATTAGTACATTGTTGTATCAACAATTTTGTAAATTTAGGGTTAATGTTCATTAATTATAAGCTTAGTTGATGTATTTATTGTTTATCTATTCAATTAGATGATTTTGCTATTTGAGAATTTTTATCTATTCAATAATAATTCACGTGACATATTCTTTAATGTCACGTGTAAATTCCCGATGTTCGAATGCTAATAATAATCCGATAACCTTTTTTCCAATGTAGTGACCAAGTGAGACTCCAATAAAACGCGTTCTCTTGTGATACCAATATTCTTAATTACCGATTGTTCACAACTGAATTTTATGAAAAAAAATGCCTTCTTTTCTCAGAAATGGCTGACTACTCACCTTTAAGCACCTCTGAAGAACAACCTTCTCAGTTACAGAACAAACGAGAATTCAAATTAAATTATTTTGCTATTTTTTTTTTCCTCGCAGTTGGGATCACTCTTTGGACCTCTATTCCTTCTTTAGTATATTTATTTAGCGACACACCAGAACAATCGTTACCAATAGAGCCTACGCGAGTACCAACAGTTCCTACACATACAATTCCTGTTCCTGATTCTGATTCATCAAAACAGCATCCAGAGATGACTAAACGAATTATTTCCGTTTATTTCACAAGTTGGAGTATTTATGCTCGTGAGTTCAATGTAAAAGACCTCGATGTGACGAAAATTTCTCACATCAATTATGCATTTGCAAATTTGGATGCTGATGGAAATGTTAAAATTGGTGATCCCTGGGCTGATACAGATAAGCATTTTGATGGTGATTCTTGGAATGAAGGAGGTAACAATTTGTATGGTAATTGGAAACAATTGGGTTTACTAAAAAAGAGGAATAGGCATCTTAAAGTACTTATATCAATTGGCGGGTGGACTTGGTCAACAAATTTTCCTGCT